AGTTTTCCAAATTTGCTGGCATATTGAGTGCAACACTTTCACAACATCATCTTTTAGGATTTGAAATGGCTCAACTGGAATTCCATCATCTCCACTAGCTTTGTTTATTGTTGAAGCCTCACATTAGTAGAAGAAAATTAGTCAGTTTGGAGATGTTTTCCCCATTATCTAATGCAATGAATTCCTCATTCCTTAAATATAGAATATAGGTGTGGTTCTGACTTTGAGGCATTAAGACAGAAATATTAATCTCTATTCAAAGTAATATGACACATTCATGATTTTTACGACTTTTTGTATTAAGTTCTACAATTCATGGATTTCATTGTAATTCAAACATTCAATATTTTCATTTACTTATCCTCCAAATTTCCTTAAAGGTTTCTTTAACATAATAGGTAGAATTATAAATGAAACTCTTTGCATTTACATATATGTGTGAGTATGTTTATTTGAGAGAAAAATGTAAACAAGTAATGTACAGACATACATGTTCCTTGCCCTTGACTGTGTTCTTTGGACTGCACAAATACTTTTACAGATTTCATTTTTTCTCTCAACATCTCTCAGAAGTTATGTTTGTTATTCCATATTATCTCCAGAACTAAGGAGAAAGAGACCAGGGGGATTAAAGTTTTAGTAAGTACATAACACAGCAGTAAAAACTTAATTATATATAACTTGTTATGTACCTTCTTCAACTGTGTATATAGAAGCAGGTAGTATATAGTCTTAATTAGCAAATGACATTTAAATTTCTTCAATTTGTACACATTAAATGAGTACAGAATAGGGCATGTAGTTATGATTTGATAAATTTATCATGATTAAAGAATTCTAGTGTGCATTCCAGGGTCAGGTCTGGAGCAGTCACATTTGACAGAGACAAGAGAAGAGACACCTTTTCTAACGGAAAAAAGGAAGTTTCATATGTGGATATTACAGCAGTGAATTAAGTTAAGGCAATTCATGTTTTATCCCCTGGTTTTAAAACCTTTTTTTCTCTTTTATTTATTAAAAAATTTTTTATTGCAGTATAGTTGCTTTATAATGTCATGTTGGTGTCTACTGTACAGCAAACATATATCCCCTCTTTTTTGGAGTTCCTTCCCATTTAGGTCACCACAAAGCCCTGGGCAGAGTTCTCTGTGCTATACAGTAGGTCCTTATTAGTTATCTATTTTATGCATAGTATGTATGTCAACCCCAATCTCCCAATATATCCCTCCCGTCCATTTCCCCCTTGGTAACCATAATTTTGTTCTGTGACTCTATTCCTGTTTTGCAAATAGATTCATTTGTACCTTTTTTATTTAACATTCCACATGTACATGATACTAACAATCTCTAGGTGCATCCATGTTACTGCAAATGGCATTTTATGGCTGAGTAATATTCCATTGTATACATGTACCACTTCTTCTTTATCCATTCTTCCACTGATGGGTGTTTAGGTTGCTTCCATGTCCTGATTATTGTAAATAGTGCCGCAATGAGCAATGGGATACATGTATCTTTTCAAATGAGATATATATATATATTAAAAAAATGGATACACATTTCAATACAGTAAGTTAACATAATGCACAAGATCAACCTGGTTAAATAACATTTCATCATCTATAAATGTTTCAGGGAGATATTTTTATTTTTTATTAATTATTTATTTACTTATCCATTTTCAAGTATCTAGGTATAAACTTTATTCTTATTACTATTGTTTTTAGTTAGAATATACTTGCTTCCCAATGTTGTGCTAGTTTCTGCTGTATGACAAAGTAAATCTGCTACATGTATATATATATTACTCCCTCTTGGACCTCCCTCCCATTGCACCCCTTTAGGTGATCATGGAGCACCAAGCTGATCCCCATGTTATACAGAAGCTTTCTGTTAGCTATCTATTTCACACATGATAGTGTGTATGCTAAGTCGCTTCAGTTGTGTCCAACTCGATGTGACCCTATAGATGGCAGCCCACCAGGCTCCCCCTTCTCTGGAATTCTCCAGGCAAGAACAATGGAGTGGGTTGCCATTTCCTTCTCCAATGCATGAAAGTGAAAAGTGAAAGTGAAGCTGCAGTCATGTCCGACTCTTAGTGACTCCATGGATTGCAGCCCACCGGGCTCCTCCATCCATGGGATTTTCCAGGCAAGAGTACTGGAGTGGGGTGCCATTGCCTTCTCCAGATAGTATGTATAGTCAGTCCCAATTCATCCCACTCTCCCTCCCCTGCCCTGCATCCACATGTCGGTTTTCTATGTCTGCATCTCTATTCCTGCCCAGCAGATAGGCTCATCTGTACCATTTTCCTAGATTTCACATACATGCATTAATATAATACTTGTTTTTCTCTTTCTGACTTAATTCACTCTGTATGAAGCATTTTTAAAGACAGAGTGAGAAGAAAGTCACAGGGTGTGTGATCAGCTTGTGCAAAATTATGATTCATTGTTGATGAGGTAACAGGGTCATCTTTTTGGGAATCTCAGTCATCAATTTTTTGGTTCCAACAGGTCTGAGGTCTATGTGCTTGTGGTCAGCATGTAGTTAATATTTTCCCACTGAGTGGGAATTTTAGTATCTGAAGAACAATGCAAGGATATCATTTGGTATATGATCTATAGCCCTTGAGGAGGAACTAAATTTCCTTGACTTTGTCTTATGGTGAAACTATCATTTTTTCCATTTGACTGTTCTCCTCTGTTTCTAAATGTTCTCACTTCTCTGACTAAATTTGCTGCTTGGAACTTGGGGAAGATCTAAGAAACTGAAGCTTTTCTATGAACAAGAGGTATGGACACAGGATGTGTGTGTCTGCCCCTGGGAAACCCCACAAGGTCCCATTCTGTTTCACAAAACTGAAACAATAATTGCTTGGGAAATTCTACAGATGGGCTTCTCTGGTGGTGCAGTGGTTAAGAATCTGCTTGCCAATGCGGGAGACCTGGGTTCGATTCCTGGGTCGGGAAAATCCCCTGGAGAAGGAAATGGCTACCCACTCCAGTATTCTGGCCTGGGAAATCCCATGGACAGAGGAGCCTGGCGGGCTACAGTCCATGAGGTCACAAGGAGTCAGACATGACTTACAAATGGATACTGATAGCACATATTTCAATCAGTCAATGAATTGTCTGAAAAAAATTTGCATAGTAATAAATGTAATAAATGGACCATAAGGATGGGCTGAGAGCCAAAGAATGGATGCTTTTGAACTGTGGTGTTGGAGAAGACTCTTGAGAGTCCCTTGAACTGCAAGGAGATCAAACCAGTCAATACTAAAGGAAAGCAATCTTGAATATTCATTGGAGGGACTGATGCTGAGGCTGAAGTTCCAATACTTTGGCCACCTGATGTGAAGAACTTACTCATTTGAAAAGACCCTGATGTTGGGAAAGATTGAAGGTGGGAGGAGAAGGAGATGACAGAGGATAAAATGGTGGGATGACATCACCAACGCAATGGACGTGAGTTTGGGCAAGCTACAGGAGATGGTGAAGGACAGGGAAACTTTGCGTGCTGCAGTCCATGGAGCCGCAAAGAGTTGGACATGACTGAGTGCCTGAACAATAGCAACAACAAAATGAATGGCTTAGCATTTTGCTTCATTATATTTAAAGTAAAATCCATTCTAAGGCCATATTTTATCAATCTATTTTTCATACTTGTCTTTCTGTATAGATTTGACTTGGAGGCATGTATTTTATTATCACTTTTGTCAATGAGTATGATAGACAGAGTGTGATCCTACTCAGACTGCGATGGCTTGAAGTGGGTCTTGGGTTCCTAGGCAGGGATCAAGCCCAGGTCATGGCGGTGAGAGCAAGGAATTCTAGCCACTAGACCAGTTGTCAGAGACAAGGGCCCTGGCCCTTCAGTGTTGCAGAAAAAAATTTTCACTAAGAAAAGTAAGAGGAAAAAAACACTTTTTAAAGAGGAAAAGTATTTTTTAAGAATATGTTTATTTATTAATAGAAAAAAAAAAGAGTATAGTACCTGTGGATAGACACATGAGTGGACTCAGAGAGTCTCTGAGCTTCACCCTTGTGGCAATTAGAATTACTTTCATCGGGCATTTCTTCCTGGTTTTCTTTGGCCAATAATTTTGATTTACCTGGTTTGGTTCACAATCCATATATGGTATATCCCAGAATCCTCCCATATGTGCACATGCATTTCTTAGCCAAGATGGATTCTACCAAAGAGGCCTGTGGGTAGAGCATCCCTTGACATCACTCCCCTTTGACCTCCAAGGAGCAGTTCTACATGTGTGTGATTGGGGACATCTCACTTCAGGAATCAGAAATATGTGGCCTGAGCAAGGTCCGGCCTCCTCTCTTGTTTCCTATTATTCTCATCTTAGAGTTTTGATGTACAGGGGATTTATCTCCAATTGCTTTACCCTGGGTGGGGGATGGACATCTACCTCCTGCCTCAAGTGGACACAAGCTATGTAGTAGAATAAGATCCTAATGAATAGAAAAGTAACCTTGATCAGTGATAACAATCAATGTGTTAAGGTTTGGATAATCAAGAAGACCAACTAAGGTAGTGATGTGCAAAGAATGATGTTAACAAAAGTGAAAAAGAGTGGTTTCAGGTTTTCCTCTGTTATAAACTTACAAATAGCTGTTTATAGAGAAGTTTTCTGGTTCATAGGATTTTTACAGCTCATGTCTACTCTTTTAGACAAAGAACAAGCAAAAATACTCAGTATGATATATTTCATTTGAGAAGAAATTATTCTTAAGAAATCCCTTGAGATAAATGGGAATTTTCAAATATTTCACCTCCAATGTTGGGAATACAATTGAGTACAAAAATAAAAAAAGGGAAAAAAACTCTTGGATATCATAGATGCCATAAATAATAAAAGTGAGTTAAATAAATTGTATAGAGAAGTTGAAATAGAAACTCCAAGAAAAACAGAAGAGGCATGTTCTACTTTCATAATCTGATCAAAGACTGGCAATATTTGGCTCAGGTTTTGAGCTCTGCTATCACAGGCACTTCTCAAGCCCTAGGACAATAGACACTTTTATATTTTCCTTTCCAAAGAGCATTTTCAGACCCGTCTTTAAATCTTTATTTCTCAGACTGTAGATGAAGGGGTTCAGCATGGGTGTGACCACAGTGTACATCACTGAGGCTGTTATACTTGAGTGTAAGCTGTGGGTAGCAGCAGAGCTAAGGTACACTCCTAAACCTGTACAATAAAATAAGGAGACAACTGAGAGGTGAGATGCACAGGTGGAAAATGCTTTATACTTCCCCTAAGATGATGAGATTTCACGTATACAGAACATTATCTTAGAATATGAATAAATGATACCAAAGAGGGAACCACCAGCCAGGAACACAGCTACAAAATACATCACCATGTTATTGAGAAAAGTGTCAGAATTGGCAAGTTGGATCATTTGATTGAGTTCACAGAAAAAGTGAGGGATTTCTAAGACTGTACAGAAAGACAGCTGCAGCACCATTAAGCTTTCTAACAAGGCATGCAGGAGACTGATGATCCAGGACACCAGCACCATCAGTCTGCAGATCCGGGGATTCATGAGAACCGTGTAGTGCAGGGGGTGACAGATGGCCACGAAGCGGTCATAGGCCATCAAGGTCAGGAGGAAGATGTCCAATTCTATAAAGAGTGTAAAAAAATGCATCTGGAAGATGCAGGCTTCATAGGTTATAACTTGGCTCTGGGTGTGGATGTTCCATAGCATCTTTGGGATGGTGGTAGAGGTGAAACCGATATCTACAAAGGATAAGTTGGAGAGGAAGAAGTACATGGGGGTGTGGAGGTGGGAGTCAGAGATGGTGGCCAGGATGATGAGCAGGTTTCCAAATACTGTGATTAGGTACATAGAGAGGAAAAACCCAAATATGAGGGGCTGCAGTTCTGGATCCTCTGAAAATCCCATAAGAAGAAATTCTGAAACTTTTGTTTGATTCCCTTGTGCCATGTGGTGGAGGTGACTAACAGAAAAGGGGAAAATATCACAACTAATTTTCACACAAATGTACATTAGTCACATTGCAAGTGCTCCCATTTGAAGTTTCCCATTAGGAAATTAATTTCAATATTTGTTCATGGATTTCGTCCACTTTAGAGAAACTCCTGTGTCATCTCTAAGAAGCAAACTTGTGCATTTCTCTTTTTTTCAAAGATGTCATGTATTTGCAGTTTTAATGAGAAATTCTTTCATGCATTTGAAAAATATAAATTGATTTGAGACAATGTTCTAGGTAATGTCTATGCAGGGAGTATAGGGTGTCAAAAAGCAGATGCTCTCAAAAATCAGTTATGGAGACCATATGTAAGCAAATGAAAACCATATAGCTTGCCATATGGTGAGAAGTGTTACAAAAAAACCAAAAGTATGTATAAGGGAGAGAGTGAAAAGGGAGTGCTACTTTTTAATGCATGTTTAAGCAAGACCTGTAAAAAACACGATATTTGAACAGAGACATCTAAGGAAGAAAGAGAGTGGATGAGCATACCTGGCAAGTGTGTGTCTGGCAAGGGAAAATCAAAGTGAAGGCCTGAGGAGGGTGCTTCTTTAAGATGTTCCAGTCTAAAAAAGAAGCCAGGGGGTGAGAGAAATGAGCAGGAGGAAGAGTGAGGAGAGAAAGTGTCAGAAAACATTGAGGAACAAGGTGGTCTCCCTGCTGCTGCTGAAACTTCAAGTCTCAAGGGGTCCTTTGTTGCTGTTATGTATCTTTCGCACTTTATGAAATTAAATATTAAAAACACCTATACAAAAGACAGTTTAAGGAAAAACCAAAACTAAATTTCCAAAAGAAAAGATAATACAGTACTTATAGCTTAATAATGATTTCAATTTTGGATTACACAGATATGGTTATAAAATAATTCAACAGTTTTTAAAATATGAAATGGGAGCACTATCTGTGTATAATTTCCTTTTAGATAGAAATATATCCTTTCAATTCTGCGTTTGGAAGAAAATTGACAAAGGTAAAGAGGAACCCTTTTTAAATGGAGATTAAACATGATGCAACTTTTAGAGATAGTTCTAAATTTAAAAGATCGAAGTAAGAATAAGAAATAAAGATGAGGAAAGTAGTTGAAAGCATGCATAAAGCATGGCTTATTAGTATTGAGTATGAACAGGAACATTCATTTTCATTTTTGATTAAGGTAATGATTTGCAAGTGAAGAATATTTAGGTGAACACAATTGCTTCAGTTAAAAAAAAAAACAATAATGGAGAGAACATAAAATTGACACAGATTTTACCACAGAAATGTAAAAATTCTCAGACCTTCTGCACAAATATCTGAATGCGCTTCCCAGGTGGTGCTAGTGGTAAAGTCCCTGCCAGTGGATGCAGGAGACCTAAGAGACTTGGGTTTGATCCCTGAGTGGGGAAGCTCCCCTGGAGGAGGCCATGGCAACCCACTCCAGCATCCTTTCCTGGAGAATCCCATGTACAGAGGAGCCTGGCATGTCAGTCCATGGGGTTGCAGAGTTGGACACTACTGAATCAACTTAGCAGGCAGGCACATAAAGTATCTAAACGGGGAACAGCAAATTGATAATGAAATTTCAATTCTTAGTTTGAAAGAATACAGTAAAAAAAATAGGAATAAAAAACATGCTGGGTCATATGGCAGTTCTATGGTTAGTTTTTTTAAGGAAACTGCATACTGTTTTCCATGGTGGCTGCATCAATTTACATTCCCACCAACAGTGCAAGAGGGTTCCCATTCCTCCCCACCCTCTCTAGCATTTATGGTTTGTAGATTTTCAGTGAAGGCCAAGTCCTCATTGTAGTTTTGACTTGCATTTCTCTAGTAATTAGTGATAGCGAACATCTTTTCATAAGCTGCTCTCTGGAGACCTAAATGGGAAGGAAACCCAACAAAAAGGGGATATATGTTTGTATACAACTGACTTACTTTGCCGTACAGCAGAAATTAACACAACTAGACTTCAACGAAAATTAAAAACAAAACAAAAAACTTCCCAAACATGCTGAAATTCACTATCTAGAACAAAGGACCTGAACAGGCAATTTTCCTTTACTTTTTGTATGATCACATTTATATGAAATGGCCAGAGTAGGCTAATCTATAGGGAAAGTAGATTAGTGGTTGCTGGGGGCCAGAAGAAAAAAAAAAAAGAGACAGAGGGTGTGACTCTAATGATGTGGGGTTCTTTTGGGAAGTGATAAAAATGTTCTAGAGTTAGACAACAATGATCAATACACAACTTTGTAAATGTTAAAAGCCCCTTAAACATACACATTAAAATAGTGAGTTATGTAGTGTCATATCCGACTCTTTGTGACCCCATGGACTATAGACTGCCAGGTTCCTCTTTCCTTGGAATTCTCCAGGCAAGACTACTGGATTGGGTAGCCATTCCCTTCTCCAGGGGATCTCCAGGGGATCCCTGACTCAGGGATCGAACTCAGGTCTCCTGCATTGCAGGCAGATTCTTTACTATCTGAGCCACCAGGGAAGCCCCCATTATGTAAACTATGTTCCAGCAAGGGTGTTATTGGAAAAAAAAAAGAAGACAAAGTTTTAAAAATAATTTTTATCTAAAATTTACCCCCAATATTAACATCTTTGGTTGAGTAGATGAAGTAAAATTGTGTTAAACTTCTTATATATTCATATTTCCCTTACAATTTTGACATTTGGAAGAATAAAAAAAGCTTTGGTAAAACATAAAGACAATAAGAAGATTAAAGTTAAAAAAAAAAAGAAAAGAAAGGCAACAGGACAGTATAGAAAACTTCTTCCAAAAGCAGAACAAAAATTAAATTAAAAAAAGGGCAAAACAAATATGCCAGGGATGTCAGTATATTAAAATCAGTTCAATTTCCCCACTAAAGACAAAAATTCTCAAGTTGAGCCAAGTCAAAACCCAACTAACTATTTGTGGTTCATCATTATAAAGGCCCAATATTCAAATAGAAATGAAGTGAATTTAATGAAGAGCAGGGGATTTTATTTATTTGCTTATTTTTTTAGTCACAAATATTTTATTTTTTCACTCAGGAATTCAATTCAGTTTCACTGGGGACACACTTTACCTTCGCAACACCTTGGTGCTCAGTCGTGTCTGACTCTTTGTGACCCCATGGACAGTAGCCCACCAGGCTCCTCTGTCCATGAGATTTCCCAGGGAAGAGTACTGGAGTGGGTTGCCATTTCCTTCTCCAGGGGATCTTCCCCACCCAGGGATTAAACCCGCATCTCATTGCAGGTGGGTTCTTTACCACTAGTGCCACCTGGGAAGCCCCTAACAACATCTCAACATCTTGAAAGTGAAAGTTAAAGTTGGTCTCTCTGTCTTTCCAACTCTTTGCAACCCCATGGACTAGCCTGCTAGGCTCCTCTGTCCGTGGAATTCTCCAGGCAAAAGTACTGAGTGGGTTGCCATTACCTTCCCCAGGGGATCTTCCTGACCTAGGGATTGAACCTGGGTCTCATGCATTGCAGGAAAATTCTTTACCATGTGAGCCACCAGGGAAGCCCTAACAACTTCTTAACTGTATGTAACCTAATGTCTTTAAAGTCTTTTATCTTGCCCTGAATAAAGCTCAGTATTGAAAAAGAACACAGGGCACCCAAAGCCGGTGCTCTGGGACAACCCAGAGGGACAGAGTGGGGTGGGAGGTGGGGGGGCTCAGGATGGGGTACATATAAATACTGGTGGCTGATTCATATTGATGTATGCCAAAACCCATCACAATACAGTAAAGCAGTTATCTGCCAATTAATTTAATTTAAAAAAGTAAAACAAACAAACAAACCCACAAAAACACCTGTTTTTGGATGTGGACCATTTTGAAAGTCATTTATTAAATTTGTTACAGTATTGCTTTTGTTTTATGTTTTGATTTTTTGGCCACAAGGCATGTAGAATCCTAGCTCCCTGACCAGGGATCAAACTCACACCTGGGCATTGGAAGGCAAAGTCTTAACCAGAGGACTGCCAAAAGTCTCAAAGAAGCACTTTTAAATAGGGTTATATATTGGAGTGAAAAATATCCCCTTCTCATCTCCACCTCCCTGCCAAAGATGTCTACTTCCTAATGCATGGATTGAACAGACAATTTTATTTTAATTTTTAAAATCTTTTTATTTTGTATTGGAGTATAGCTGATTAACAAATCTGTGATAGTTTCAGGTGGACAGTGAAAGGACTCAGCCATATATATATACCTATGTCCATTCTTCCCCAAATTCCCTTACCATCCAGGCTGCCACATAACATTGAGCAGATTTCCCTGAACAGGCAATTTTAAATCCAAAATGTAACAGGCTAACTGATCTGCAAATATATTCAACTTTACAATGAGTGAATTCATTGCAAATTAAGCTCTAGCTTACCCATTTATGGGCTTCTCTAGTGGTTCAGATGGTAAAGAATCTGCCTGAAATGTAGGAGATCCAGGTTTGATCCCTGAGTTGGGTAGATCTCCTGAAGAAGGGAATGGCAACCCACTCCAGTATTCTTGCCTGGGGAATCCCACAGAGGAGCCTGGCGGACCCCTGGCCATGGGGTCACGGAGTTGGACATGACTGATTGACTAACACTTTCACTTTTGCACTACCCAATTTTAAGCTTCCCAGGTGGTGCTAGTGGTAAAGACTCTGCCTACCAATGTAGGAGATTCAAGAGACAGGTTTGATCTCTGAGTCGGGTAGATCCCCATTAGGAGGGAATGGCAATCTACTCCAGTATTCTTGCTGGGTCACTGAGTGCTGTGTGTGACTAAGTACTACCCATTTACATGTAATAAATTTAAAAAATATTTGAATATTAAGAGGGAGGAGATACTTTGAAATGTGTGTCTCATGAACTGCTGTTGCAGGGAAATGT